GTATCGAAGAGGAAGAGGAAAAACAACAGATGGGAACTAACAGTATACAACGGTTCTCACACATGTTGTGCTGGAGGGGTCAACCAAGATCATCCCAACTTGGACTCTAAGTGATATGCCAAGCCATCATGCCCATGGTAAAAGCAAGCTCTCATATAGCTGTTGCAGTGTTGATTTCAGCTATACAATCGCATTATGGGTACAATATCTCGTATAAAAAAGCTTGGTTGGCAAAACAAAATGCCATTGTCAAACTTCATGGCGAATGAGATGCATCTTACAACGAACTTCCAGGTTGGTTTAGGCTGGTGCAGACGTTGAATCTTGGGACAATTGTGGACTTCGAAACCTCCTATGCATACCATAATGATCTAGTTCTACGCGATCGATGCTAATTCTACCGGGTTTTTTTGAATTACCCACAATGAGTTAATGTTGTCAAATATTGCAAGCCTGTGGTCCAGATCGACGAGACTTTCTTGTATGGAAAATACAAGCAAGTTTTATTATTGGCAGTTATCCAAGATTACAATCGTAACATTCTTCCAGTTGCTTTTGCTATTGTCGAAGGAGAAGATACATATTCTTGGGCTTTTTTCCTCCGAAACTTACGTGCACATGTTATCACGAGGAAGAAAATATGTGTCATTTCAGATCGCGGAGCTGGGATCAAAGCAGCAATGGAGTCTTTGGGTCCAATGTGGCAACCACCATTTGTCCAACATAGGTATTGTCTCCGACACATTACTGCGAACTGCCATGGAAGGTACAAGAAGAATGATGAGCGTCAATTAATTGTGCGCATGGGTAAGTGAAAGCAAGTTAGTAAGTTATACATTTTTTGATCATTTTAATTTTGCAAAGAAATCAATTTATTAAGTTATACATTTTTTGATCAGGTTACGAACAACTTCCTCGAACGTTTGAATCAATGCTTCAAGATTTGCGGGCGAAGAACGAGGAAGGATACGATTACATCAGCCTCATCAATAAAGAAATGTGGACGAACGCATATGATGGTGAATATCAATATGGACACATGACGACCAACTTGGCTGAGGCAATCAATTCAACCTTAAAGGGTGCGCGTCACTTACCTGTAGCGGCTTTGGTAAAAACTATATATTTTCGTTTGGGGTCGCTTTTTGCGAAGCTCAGGGGACAAACTCAAACCTGGATGCAAGGCGGTCATGTCTATCACCCTAGATTAGTTGCAGATATACAGAAAAAAATTGTTGCATCAAATGGAATGTCTGTAACAAACTTCTCTAGAAGTCATGAAATGTTTCGTGTCACAGAGTTGCCGCAACCTCTTCAAGGGATTGAAGCTGTGTCATTAAGAGTAAATCTAAGGGACAGAACGTGCGACTACGAGTTTTTTCAAGTTCTGAAGTATCCATGCTCTCATGTGATAGCAGCTTGTTCGCATACACGTCAAGGCTATAACCGTTTTGTGGATCCCGTATACCTACTATCTGAAGTTTTTAAGGTATACGAATTTGAGTTTCCCCCATAGGTAATGACAAAGACCCTGATGAGGTTCAAGATTGGCTTCCGATTGTACCAAATCTAAGTTTATTGAGGGAGCGTAGTCATCCAAAATCCAATCGAATTCATTGCGATATGGATATTCGAGAAAGATCTAGACAAGACAGAAGATGTGGGCATTGTAGAAAACCAGGACACACTAGAAAAACATGTCCACTTCTGTTGTCATCAAGTAACAATTGATGAGGAAATGATGTAGTTGTTTATCAAATAATAATTATTGTACTTTACTTTGTATTTACTTCAAGTTAATGTTATTCGATAACCGCTGATGAAGATTAAAAAACGATACAATTATACGAGATTAGACGTTCGCGTTATATTAACAAATAATTGATATTAACGATACAATAAGTATTAAATGATAAATGATAACCAAATTACAATAACTTATATTAAATGATAAATTAACAAAGTAAGTATTAAATGATAAATAAAAAATTACAATAAAAAAGTCCAATAAATAACTACAATAAAAAAGTACTAAATACAAGTATAAAAAACAAAATCTATCGATGCATGCAACGCGAATGTGTTCCGCAGGGCGGTGGCTGTCGGTCTCAAGGAGGATTTCTTCATATCACTGGTTGTGACTCCTCATTGTCATCATCATCACCACCATCATCATCATCGTCATCATCATCTTCGTCATCCTCCTCCTCCTCCTCCTGAGTAGTACATAGGTTGATGAGGAGCTGATGACGATGAAACACCTCCATAGAATAAGGACCCTCGAGGTGTATGACTGACTATCCCACCGGCCTACGAAAACTGGGAAAACTCATAAAACCCAGACATCGCTGAGTGTGAAAACTGTACAGGAGGTGTCTGTGCTACGGCCATGGGTGATGGGGCTGAACCCGCCAAATATCCAATATATGAACCCCAAGTCGGATCTGCAAACATAAACCCATAATAGCCTCCAAGAGGGGTCATCTGTGGTGGAGGCGGGGTCATAAAACCAGGTGAAGGCAGCGGCAGTGGCATCTAATAATGAAAAGGCAGTGGCAACATCATATATGGTTGCAGTATGTAAGTCGCTGGATATGGTGGCTGCTGTGAAGGTCATGCTGGTACAACTGAGGATGAACCAGAAGCATCTACTCTCCGTCCACGAGTCATGAGACAATGGTGTTATGTCGGTGAACGTCTCTGTCAACGTCGCGGAAAGGTCTGCCCTCGTGTATCCTCGAGAAGCAGAAACGGTTTCTCGTACTATTGAACCACTAATAATAACCGACAGCAACCATCAAGAGGTCATAAAAAATGGGCTCTCTACGGGGAAGGCGCTGATGTCGATCATCCACAACACGACCCACTCATGATGCCTCACCAGCTAATCTGTATCTGTCTTGTCGCATCTATCTGTGCTATGCAACTCGTCCATATTGCGAGGTGCTTCCGGAATTGGTTGAAAAATACCAAATTGCCGGAGCACGCGATCAGTGGAGTGCCACTCGACGGTCGCATAACAGATCATGGGGACCATCACCATCCAAACATCTGATGGGCCTCTTAACTCAGGTGGGATCACCTCCCTCACATCATCAGTAGAATATGGCACCCATTCAAACTAAAACAAATATATATAATTTTTATCAAAAGAATAATCTAATTATATAACTATAATCTAAAATCGATTTTTAAACATTAAAATTCATACATGTGTGCCAGCCTTCTGATCGATTAACACCATAATTTTTTCTAAATCATCAGGTAGCTCTTGATGATTTTTCCTATCAGTAGACCACCTATTCAAGGAAAAAATTTATTATACGCTTTATAAAATTATTAATATACGAAATCAGTTTTATAATTACCTCATGAGTAGTGGAAATACGAATAGGTTCTTCACAACGGGACATAAAAAGGGCAATCGATACCATGCCCAAGACTGCAGTAGCAGGAGACATCCGCCGATAGCATTACGCCTGTAGTCAATGGCTCAACACATCTCCCTGTACAGGCAAGCCAAAACTGCCGAGCCCCAACTGAGTGATTCGACCAGATGAAAGTCGCCAAGATTTGCAACCACATAAAATGAACTTGGTTGCGCGATTTCTCTGACATCAACAACCCTCCTATCAGCTGCAGTATGCATGCCCGTACATACTGTTTAACTTCATCGTCAGACACGTCCTCGCTCAACTCCCAAAAATTGGCATCTAACCAATTTAACGGTATCCGTCCGCCGTTAAAATTTTTCGGGACACGTCCTAGACTAACTCGACACAAAGTAGTCCAAGAACCGGAAACTATCCCTGATATCACACCTCCATCCACCGGAAGCCCCAGGTGCATAGAAACATCCTCAAGCGTGATCGTGCACTCTCTACACGGAAGATTGAATATGTGGGTCTCCGGCCTCCACCGCTCTACTAAGGCAGAAATAAGGTATGGTTCTATCTTACAGTGACCTTGATATCTACCTAGGTGACCGAATCTAGCCTCTACTAAATACGACATTACACGAGTAGGTATAACTAACTTAAGGTTCTTAATAAAAGGATCTAATATACAATATCTCTACTAAAATATAAATAATTACACAAATTAATTTTTAAACTAATAATCATGCATTAAATTAATTAATTAAATTAAAACGTTAAAATGTTATTAAGGTTCTTAATAAAAGGATCTAATATACAATATCTCTACTAAAATATAAATAATTACACAAATTAATTTTTAAACTAATAATCATGCATTAAATTAATTAATTAAATTAAAACGTTAAAATGTTATTGTATCAGCAAAGTGTCGAGATATATGATTTATATCCAACCAAAGTAGACTGCCTTCCATTTTATATCTGCAAAAAAATTAATTAAATAAAATATTAAACAATTAAATAAATTAAATAAATTACTAAAAATACTAAAAATAATAAAATATATCTTAATAAGAGAATATAAAAGTATTTAAGAGAAGTTGAGAGGATTTGGTGTGATGAAAGTGATTGAGAATGTGTGTATTTATAGAGAGAGATATGTGTGAACAGGCGGGGTAGGTTGGTAATTAAGGGTATAGCGCGGGGCAGGGGCCGCGCCTTTCTGACGCGTGTCAGAATCACAGATCAGGCGCGGCCCCTGCCCCGCGCTATACCCTTAATTACCAACATGCTCCGCGCCATACACACTTGTATCCATATCAGCATAAGACGCGTCGTAGGAGGCGTGACTTACCCCACGTGGCACCAAATTAACGTATAATACGTTACAGGGGCACACCTTACTGCAAAGGTGTTAGATCAAAAAATATAATCTAATCGGTGACTAAACGAAAATATTAAATTAAAAAAATGATTTTTCCAAAAAAAAATGTCTATTGCAACAAAAATCATTATGATAAAATATTTTATTTAAAAAAATATTAATAGAGCATTTAATATCGTGCCATAAGTACTGTATTCGTCTTTATGGTTTTTTGATATTGGAGTCTTTGGTAGGAAGGTGCCCTTTATGACCTTTTCGTGGACTCTTCGTTCCTCTTTGTTATCGCTCTTCCTTTGTGGGTTATTCGGCAAATTAGGTATTCTACTCCATTTTAATCTCTCTTTGTTTCTTGTGTGCAGTTATTCTATTTAATCTTTGAAAGCTCTTCTCTTATTGGGTTTTCTTTTTCTTCTTCTCCTTTCATATGGGTTTTGTGGTATAATCCTTCATCTCCTCGATAAGATTCTTTCAGATCGATCAAGTTCTTTCAGCTTTATACGTTTGGTGAGCCTTCTGCGTGTGCTTTTCATGTTTATGTTGGTTTGATCGTTGATGGGCTGATGAGGGGATGATATTCTCTGTTTTTTCTTTCTTGAAAATTTTGGCTGTTTGGTTATATATGGATATTTTTCTTTTTGAGGTTTTGATTTTTATGGTTTTTTCTTTCCATGTCCTGAATCTGCATATTCTTTGAGGTCTTAGCAATTTGTGTTAAAAGTTTGTAATTCTTTGCTATCTTTTCACATGTTGGATTGTCGAGGCTCTCTTTAGTTAATTTTCTTTCTACTATTGCTTTCCTTTTGTTCTGTTTAATGGCGCCTTTGGGATTGAAGGTGGGATATGATAAGTGCTCCTCTTTGTTTATTCAGTTTCTTTTTGCCTTGTGCTCTTATATGGAGCAGCCGGGAACCTTGTGACTGCTTTCGTTTTGGTCCACAGTTGGATATTTGCTGTTAGTTGGTGCTCATTATCTTCTGATTTTGGTTTCATTCACCCTGGTGATATATTATTTGCTACAATTGGTATCTTGACGTTTGAGAGGCAAATATGTCTCTTCAAATCAAAGCAAACTTAAACTTAGACTACTGCATTACTATTAGTAATACTGAATTCGGTTACTTACAAATTGTATTGGAATATTATTCAGGATATTTGCACGGAAATTCAAACGAGTCATAATGCAGGGACGAAGGGGTACTATTGGTTCCTTGCTTGAAACCTTCATTGATCATAGTACTGCATCACGTAATGCTGCTATTGAACAGCAGGTTTGCTGGAATAATGTTCAAAATCCTATAGAAAACAGATTGCCTAATTGTTTGCTGTCATCTAATGACATGAACGTTGGATATGTGAACTCTATTGGTCGGGAGGAGCAGCCTGGTAGATGGAGCTTGGGAGAACCTAGCTTTAGTGACACTGTAACTGAGGTCAGCTATAACGAGCGGAAAACTGATCATGGATGGTCAATGTCTATGAGTGCTTCTACAAATGCTGGTCTGAGCTTAGAAGGGCAGAGGTATGAACAAAGTTCTCTATTTGCGCAAAGTTCCAATTCTGGTACAGTTCCCCAGAATCAAAGGTTAAATGCTGGATTAGTTGGTCATGGTGATAATAACTGTCAAATTACAGAACGGTCTAATAACCACTATAAGTCTAGTGGATCAGAAGATGAGCAGAATTCACTGGGTGCGGGTTCTGAAGCATTTCTTCTTTCCCCTGGAAGTGCTGGGCATGATATGGATGATAATGTTGACAGACCTGGTTTCTTGTATGAGGGTCATCGTGCATCACACAAAAGAAAGGCTCTAGAAGGAAATGTTGGGCAGTCATCTTTGAGTGGAAGTTCTGGCTACTATCATAATGCAGAAAGTAGTGCATGGAATGGAGTTTCTGCTAGCTATACCGCAGGAAGCAATGTGAATATATCTCCCCACTCAAGACAGGCTCACCCTAGACTTGAACTAGACATTCGAGGATCAGCATCTGACAGCATTCCTGAACCAATTGTTTTACCACCAACTGCAGAGAGCTCACGCAGGAATTTCCAGCTGCGAATAAATCCTTCTAGTATACAAGAACCTATTGCCCGTCCTCTAATTTCTACAGGTGATACAATCGGGCAGTCTGTTGTTTCGTATGCACCGCAGTCATCAAGACTTCTTCCAACTAATCATTCTCTGGATTTAAGCTCAGCACCAATGGTACCTAATGCAAGTTCTCAAAACCCGAATGTCATAATTAATGTTCCAACTTTGCTTCAAAATGGAGGTTCTGGCTCAAGAACTGGCAGTTCATCCAATTTGAATCTAACAGCCGATCGAAATGTTGTACCACGTGCAAGACATCAATCAAGAAGCATGGCCAGAAACCAATTAGATCATCGTATGTTGGCTCCTGCACCAGAACGAAGAACTTTGGTTAGAAATCCTGGTTTAAGCAGTGGAAGTATAAGTGCTCCTGAAAATATTGCTTCTTCTTATCATGCTGGTCCAAATTATGCAACGTCTGCATCTACTGGGGTTCCTTCACAATACCCACGAAGATTGTCAGAACTTGTTCGTCAATCATTAATGTCTTCCCTTGGCACTGAAGCCGGAGGCCAGGATAATCACTCTTCTCTGCCTTCAGGACCTGCTTTTTCAGAAGAGATGTTGCTTTCCTCTCAAGCAGCAAATCAGGGTTACTATCATTCATATCCTAGGTCGTTGCAATGGTTGGAGAGACAAGATGCTGGTTTGCTAGGAATTCCCCGCTTATTGCGAACTTTAGCTTTTGCTACTGAAGGAAGAAGCAGGATTGTCGCATCTGAGGTCTGCCTTTGAACTCCATCTTTTCTGATTTTGATAGATTTTCTGTTTCTATTCAAATTCAAACAATAACAAAGTACAAATCCTGGTTCCCTTAACACCACTACTTAATTTTCTGCCAAGCTAATTGTCACTGGAAATCACATGCCTGGTATAGATAAAGGAAACCCCTTTGATAGAGCAATGCTAATTGTGTAGAATGTGTATGTTGTTTTCCTTTAATTGCATGTCTGAAAGACATGACCTTGGGGATCGATATCCAAAATTCATGCACTAGTTGATGGATCAGTTATTCATGTGTTGCAATTATTCATGTGTTGCGCTTAATTCTATCTTACGAGCACTCGAATATAAATGCCGCCACTTATCTTGTAAACTCTTGGTTTTAGCTGCGTACGATATATTAAATATGGCCATTGTAAAGATCCACTCAATTAGATCTGACATTTTGTTTATGGGACAGATTCGCAATGTCTTGGATCTCATGCGGAGGGGGGAGAACTTGCGACTTGAGGTAAGAATTTAATTTAACGGTGTAATTTGATTCAGTTCTATCATCACCAACTAAAACTTGGTAGCATTTTGAGGGTGGCCATTCTGCTGGGGACTTTGAGAGTGGCCATGTCATTTTGGATCTTACTTCTTCCCCAAGCAAGTGACATTCTCTCTTCTGATTATGCTTTTATGCAGGATGTCATGATCCTCGATCAGGCAGTACTATTAGGGGTAGCTGATATTCATGACCGTCATAGGGACATGCGGCTCGATGTTGATAACATGACATATGAGGTAGTATCTATATTCTTAACATCCTAATCTTTTGTGTTTGAAAATTCTGACAGTAGAATTGCTTTGTGGGGGTAATAGGAGTTATTGGCTTTGGAAGAATGCATTGGTAATGTAAGCACAGGGTTGAGTGAAGAAACCATATTAAACCGTCTGAAAAGACGAAAGCATTTTGGTTCACCAGGAGCTCAGTTAGAGGCCGAACCGTGTTGTGTTTGTCAGGTAATGGATTTTTCTCATCTGCATTTTTTACGGACCTTGTAAATAATTGTTTACCAATTTGCAGGAAGAATATACTGATGGTGAAGATCTTGGGACACTGGAATGTGGCCACGACTTCCATGCTTATTGCATTAGACAATGGCTGATGCTAAAAAACGTGTGCCCCATTTGTAAAACAACAGGTCTGACTAAATGAGACGTCCTGTTGTTTCCAGGCAATTAGGTCTTCCTCTGGTCAGAGGAAGGCCCCGACATTGAATGTTCTGGTTCGACTTTTTCAGTTCAACTAAACTAGATGCCTTCTCATTCTGAGATGATCTATCCATGGTATTTGAGCTTTAGATTTTACTTCCAATTTGGTCAAACAAGGCTCTTTCTGGGTGGATGACAAACATAATGTGAAGCACAGGGAACAAAGAAGCTAGTTTCAACATTTCTCATTTTCTAATAGTTGTATGTATGAATTTTTGGCCCATTGGCGACATAGATTATCGTATACCTTTATATTATTATGTTCCTCTTTTATTTTCCTTATTTTTTTAACATAATTTTTCCAAGAGATTTCTTTATAAGAATTACTATGTTGTAATAATTTGTTGAAATAAGTTTGTGGTATATAAAAATCCAGCAACAAATTACCACTTAAAAAAATAGTTTAGTGATATATGGTTCTTTCACCCATACAAAATCCAACAATGAAGATTGATTAATGGCAAAAGAACAGTAGCACGTAAGCAACTTATCGACACCCTGAATCTTTGACACAGATCACAAGGATTCAAAGGTCAGGAAATCAGGGCTACTTTAGGACTTGGGATGGTCCGATGGCGTTGATCAATCCATAAGTCGGTTCCGGAGGAGCATTTCCATGTATCTCTACACTCGCAACAAAACTTTGCTTTTCATATTTCTTCCTGAACGTCGGAGTGCTTGGAGAGTTGGGTTCTTTAAACATGGCAAAACGAATGAATGGGGGTGTTCAGATCGGTTTCGTTTCGTGTGTAGTTCTATTGGTTTCGTCTAAAAACAGCTCTCATCTCCGTGTCATTGTAGCCTGGAAATCCATGTAATCTTGTGTTTCCATGTCGTTAAATGAGTTGGGGATCCAATGCTTTGTTGGGGTGATATGTCCAGCACCATAATCTAGAGGGGTTGCAGGAGGAACGTATTGTCAAAGTAGTTCCATTGTTGGTGTAGGGCGTGGTCATCAAAGCTGATCGGATGGCTGATGGACTCCAGTTAGGTTTCACTTCTTTCAGCCTACATGTGGGGTTGCCATCGATGTGCCCGAACTGAATGTATAGTCTGTCACCATTTCTTATTTTCCAAAATGGTGAGACTGCAGCTAGACAGCAATGACATCTGGTTTCAAAGTGCCAGGGTTTATAGTATTCGGTCCTCTTGAAGAGAAATAAGCCACTTCTGGTGCAGGTTTTGTACTTAAAACTTTTGAGCACAAATCTCATTGACTTCACTTTGAAAGTGGTGGGGAAACTGAAGCATCATCATTTAAACAAATCCACCCTTCATCAGGTTTTCGCCACTAGACTAGTTGAATGCGGCCGCTATTGCTTTGGTCTCCTAATATCTGATTTCAATTGAATCCCTATTTCTTTAGTAAAAAAGTTACTCGTATAAATGTCATCTAAACTGTGCCACATATCGTTTCCTTCACTCTCCACGGTCCCTCAGTGGACAAGTCTTGAATGCCCAAAATCTTTACTAGTCATCACTGTAACATGGTCCCTCAATGTCCAAACACATAATCCATAAGCCCAGAATCTTTTTCCCACTAATTGGTGGTCGGCGGACAATAATTGTATGGATATGGTGGTGCCATTACAAAACCAAAGCTGCCACCGTAACATGGCTGTCGAGTAACGAGTTCCTCGCTGCTTTCCCTTTTCTAAAATCAGTATACATCATCTCTTTTGTCTTCATCTCCTACTTTGGTCGTCCTATACTTGGTCCACAATCAACCATCTCCATCAAGCTCTCACGCAAATCCACGACAATAAAAGCATCCCTGAAATTGTACAATATCTACACCATAAACTGACGCAAAAGACAGATTATTGGTCCTCCATCGAAGATGCACGCCAAGACAGACTCAGAGGTGACGAGCCTCGCCACATCATCGTCAACCAGGTCTCCGCGGCGTCCGGTTTACTACGTGCAGAGCCCATCGCGATTCCCACGACTGAGAAAAGACCGCAACGTCTTTCCATTCGACGCCGGTACTGAGCCCCGGCGGGTCACCGCCGCACTCCCATTCCTCCGTGGGGGGCCACTCGAGTGAGTCCTCATCGAGTCGGTTTTCGAGGTCGCTTAAGCCAGTATCTGGTAAAGTATTGCAGAACGACAGCTCGTCTAGGGGAGCACATCGGAAGGGTCAGAAGCAGTGGAAAGAAAACGATGTGATTGAAGAAGAAGGGATGTTTGAAGATGAAGAGCGCGAGAAAAGTCTCCCTCGAAGATGCTATGTTCTAGCTTTTGTTCTTGGCTTCTTTTTTCTCTTCTCCATGTTTTCTTTGATTCTCTGGGGAGTTAGCAGGCCACAAAAACCCAAGATCACAGTGAAGGTAATTTGTAATCTCAATATACTTGTCAGCTTGTTGGATTCAATTCCGATATGGGTTTTAATCCATTGTTATTGTCCCCCCCCCCTCTTTTTGTAGAGTATAAAAGTTGAGGAGTTCAAGATCCAAGCTGGTTCGGATTTCTCAGGTGTGGCAACTGAAATGATCAGCATGAATTCAACAGTGAAGTTCATTTATCGCAACACTGGAACATTTTTTGGCGTCCATGTAACAGCAACTCCCCTAGATCTATCATATTCTCAGCTCACCGTTGCTTCAGGAACCCTCCACCTCAAAAACACCGAAAGAAATATACTTTAACATTGGATCAAAAGCTCATGATTTTGGTGTTTCAGATGAAGAGTTCTCATCAATCCAGGAAGAGCCTAAGGTGTGTACCTGTAACAGTGATGGGAAACAAGGTTCCTATGTACGGAGGTGGAGCTAGTTTGAGCAGTTCGACAGGGACATCGGTGTCGATTTCATTTGAACTCAGCTTCGTTGTTCGAACAAAAACTTATGTGTTGGGCAAATTGGTGAAGCCAAAGTTCCACAAGAAGATCGAATGTGTCATACCTTTCGATCCCAAGAAACTCAATGTTCCCATTTCCCTCAAGAAATCTTGCACATGCCATTGAGTGACAGATCCAATTGCATACAAGACACGTTCAAAAGGGTTTTTTTCATTTATTTCATTTCAGAATTGTTAGCTTCTTTTGTTGAAGGGAAGTGGGAAATGAATGATACAGCTAAGCTGGCAAGTTTGTAGATGTCTGGGCAGGGAGTGAGGAACGCGCTTGTGGACTTATTGGAGCTGCCGTCTGCCCATTGATTGAAGACCATGTACGGGGATTTGTTGGTCAGTTGTTGTGAGTTATGACTCTTAATTTTTTAGATGTAAAAGATAGAAATATCTATGGTTTAGACTGTTAATTCCTTTTATGAAACAAAAGATGATAATGACATAAGCCCCTGGGTGTTCAATTTTCGAAATTAATCAAATTAACTTACTAAACTGAATTAATTTGATTAACCATGAATTAGTTCGATTAGAAAACCATTTAAAATATTTTATATATTATACATATTTAACGTTAGAACTCCCCTACAAACACTTTTTTCCATAGTTTAAATCTAGCCAATTTTTTCGGTTATAAAATTATTATAATAAAAATAAATAAGTTTTTGTTTATGGTAACCATATAACACCCCAAAAATCGGTAATTTTTCGATTTTAATGATCAATTTTTTTTATTTGAATTAAGTTTTTGAATAAATATGTTTAAATTTGGAATGTGAGAAAAATTTTGAAACTCTTTTATGTGCATGTTTTGTTAAAGAACCCGAGTCTTAATTTATCTAAATTCCTTAAATTGATGACTCGTCATATATTTGTCATCAAATAAGATTTTTTTTAAAACTATTTTCATTTGGAAAAAGAAAAAAGAAGATGCATTTTATACCTTTGAAGTGGCTTTCACGTGGAAAAACATGAAAAGAAGAGGAAGATATTTTCTCTCATTTTTTAAACTTTCTTTCCTCCATTAAAGAATATCCTTCAAACATTCAAGTCTTTCAAGTTAAATTTCTTGCAGTCTAACCACTAATTTAGAAATCTAAGTACACATTTAGTAAGCTCATGATCTTAGCTTTCTTTTGCTATCAATTTTGTATGCTTAGAGTCCAAGTGTTATTGAGTCATAAACCTAAAAATGAGAGTTTGTGTAAATTAGTGGTCTCCTTTGTAATAGAAGTGATTCTAAGCCTCATGGTGATTTTCCTATGATTTTTAGGGATTTGGAACATCAAAGCATAACACCTTAAAGATTAAGGTTTCCATGTTCATTTGTAAATTATTATAATGTGTTTTGAATGATTGAATGATAAAGTCTATGTTTGATTCTATGCTTGATATGAAATAGACTGAAGAAACTCATATTTGGATGAGAGAATCTAACTTTCGATATTGGTATGATGATCCGAGATATACGTTGAGTGTAGCTTTTGTGTTCGGATGACTCGGTGTAATTCCGATTCTATGTTTTAACATTTGATATAGGTGAATTCAATTGATATATATTTTGGGCTCACATATAACATTGAACGGCAAAGTGAATCTCAAGATAAATTTGGTAAGCTTGATGATAGATTTTGTTAACATGCTATGTTGAGTTTATATGACTATGATATGTGTGATATGAAAGCTTGAAATAAATTAAGTTGTTATTGAAGTATGAAACCAAGCATATTATGATAAGTTTTATATGTTCATGATATTTGTACTAAACCAACATGTGATATGTGAAGGTATAATTTTATGTGATTTGTAAGAATAAAGTATGATAAAATGTGTTGTGAAAACATGAATCAAATCATGTTACGATTGATAAGGAGCTATGACTCACTTGGTGATCCAAGATAAGAAATTGTATGAATGATACGGAGCTACGACTCACTTGGTGTGTAAAGATAAGAAATCATGTGAAAAAGATATATTAAGTATTGCCCTTGGTTGATAAGTTTAGTTTGGATATAGTTGGTATGCCAAAGAGTTCATTTGAGCTCATGATAGGGTTTGGGTTACGATCCTTATTTGGCAATGTTTGAGGAATGTTATTGGTCATTGACGATGTTGGAGGGATGTTATTGATCATTGGCGATGTTAGAGGGGGACCATTCTTAATTATTTGGCGACGTTTTGGTTGGAGATTCATGTATTCATTTCTGCTTACATTTCAATGGGCTAAGTAATGATTTATATACTATAAATCTTATTATGAAGGTCAATCGACCAAGTTGATGAATAAATATGAATATGACTCTATGAAAAGAAAGTTTTTATATGATTTAATTCTGATTTTTAGTAAGCTAAGCTACAAGTTGCTGAGCATATGATATAAGTTCTTACCATGGAAGTTCATGTTATGATA